CGTGGAACGAACAGTCCAATTCGGTGACGTCTACTGAGGTAAAGTGATGTTATATATTAAGACGATCTTGCCACAACGACAAGGATTAAAACAAAACTGATGTTCTGTTTGTAAGTTTTGTTTGTTTATAAGTGCTGTTACTTGATAATTCAAACCAAGCCCCCAGACTAGCTTCTTAACAACTCGCACGTACAGTGTTCTGTACGCTTACGTCATGTCGAGAATTCCGTGAAATATATTGCTCAAAATTTATCAATAGTTCAACCACACTGTGCTTCTGTTTTGAAATATATAGTAATCGTATTGTTATTAAAAAAATAAACTAATTTTGGATGCTTTTAAAATAGCGATTTGAAAGATCGCGGCATTATTTACGCAGAATATTGCCGCTAGAGGGCTCTAACTCTTTTCGATATTTCAGCCAATGAGAAGGCCAGGATTGGTAAATTTTGTCTGAAAGGCCGTAGCAATAGGCTATGCGTACGAGATATTCAGTATGATGTCTTTAAGATCATACAAATGCTTAGCCTAAAAATGGTACAGGGAAGCGTCGAGATATTCAGTGATCAATAGTTTTATGATGTCTTTCATACAGGCCTACGTCGATATCACTTTCGCTTGTACAATCAATATCCATCGCTTGTGACTATAGAAATCTCCGCGATTATGCCACGCCCTCTTTATGACGTCATCATTCGCATAGATGACGTGTTAAAATCCGCAAAACATCAGGAACTGCAAATTAAAATCATGATCCAAAGACGTGCTTCGAATTTCATATCTTACATGGATGTGCACTCTGCTTAGACTGCAATTTTCATTTTCATGTAGTCAGTTTGCATTCCTTTAATTCAAAAGACCAAATGTGTGTAATCCTTCTAGGTTTTTATTTTTATTTTTTTTATTATTATCAATCAGATACAGTTGAGTGTTGACTGATCTTTATACCTAGTGAACTTGTAGTGCACAAGATAAGGACTAAGTTTAGACGAGATTTAGACAACAGGTAAACGATTTGTGCACTCGCCCTGGTACAGGTGCTGGAGCTATCTCCCCCAATATATAATGGACGTTGCCTGCTGTTTGACTTAACCTGTATAACATCCAACAGTAATTAATTAATTTTAATTATAATAATAATTTATCTATTTTATTTCCGTGTCACACATTTTTACACAATATATACAATTTCTTTAAAATATATTCCCTCATAGTAAAAATGCCCAGCCATTAATTTGCTTATGAGACACGATTATATACATAAAATATACAGTTATACTTAAAATGGTTATCCAATATTTAAAAGTGACCGCCTTCTCCTCATCGCTAAGAATACATATTTTCCAAGATTGATTTGTAAAACATCACAATTCATTGAAAAGATAAATTGATTTTCTGCACTCATGGCTTTAAAATTATCACATAAAACATTAGCCCTACCGAAAATTAAATTTTCCCTTAAATCACAATACGCTTTACAGTTGCAAATAAAATGAATTTCTGACTCAATAGCATTAAAAAGGACAAGTTCTCTCATATAGAGGCGTAGGCGGCTTATTATAACGTCCAGTCTCTATATTCAAAGGCAAACTGCCACAGCGCTGCTTAGCCAGAACGCTACGGTGGCCTCTATGCATAATACGTGTAACATAATTTTCAGTTTTCAGATCCATTTTGAAAGTTCTATAAGTCCGAAGTTTGTTGCAGTTTTCTTTACCAATATCGTTCCCAACAGTTGTGTAAATGGTATTATTACTATTCTAATGTAAATTCTTATGCATTTCAAAAATAAAAATAAATTGGATTGCTACAAACTTTCAATGATAATTAATAGTTGAATAAAAAGATCTGATGAATGAAAACCATCATATTTAGAGGAGAGATTATATAATGTATAGAGTTTACATTTTTAGGAAATTAATTAACTGAAAGCATTATCTACTAGTAATTGTCAAACGTGTAATTAAAAATAAATATTTAATAGATACAAGAAAGTGTTTATATATTTAAATGATTTGATTTAAAATATAAATGATTGAAAACTTCTAGAAGTATATTATTGTGTTATGGTGAACATTAAGAAAAAAATACTGCTTGATTATAATACCCAAGTTTGATCATTTAGATAGAAGTGCTTTATTTCAATAAATTGGGAATATGATTTCTATAAAAAATGTTACAGCCACTATACATTTTATAAGTCGGTGGTCTGCTACAGGTAAAATCAGTTATCGTCTTTTTCGGTCACAAAGAAAGATTCAACTCAATAGATTTAAATGATACAATGACGAAAGCCAGAATCAAACCTATGTATCTAAAATACACTCTGTAGAACAGACATTAATCAGTGAAACAATATTATTTTCATGGGAGATTGATCAATAATCCTTTAATGAATGTAAGAGACTGATTAAGTGCTGGAAGACATCTAAAACACAGTAATATAGGTGAAGTGACACTCTGGCCTCAGGCGACTGTAATGGGTGGTCTTTTGTCTACAGGAGTTCTAACACATATGTTCAATTAGGTTGTATGCCAGTTTGCCAACACCAGTTAGATGAAAGAAAATGGAGAACAAAGGAAAAACAATTATAGTCTGCTCTATAAAAGTGCCACCTGTTGCCTGTAAAAATTTACCTGTACTGATAAATATACCTGTATATAACATATCTATATTTTCAAATTACTATGAAGTAAAAAGATGATATACATATGTAAATAGAACTTTAGTTTCTTAAAATAAAAATAAAAGAAATTAATATAGTTTAAAAAAGTATTTTTGATTTCATCAAAATATTATACATTCATAATATATACTTACATTTTAAATAAACATATATACAAGTGAATTAAGTAGCACTACCAATATTAATTAATAAAAAAAATACTAATATTGCGAATGATGAATACAAATAGCACTAATATCATTAATGTAATTGTATAATAAACATGTAACACAAAATAGCATTCAAAGTTATTAAATTATCATACTTTGAAGTATCACACTTTTAGTACACAGATTCACTTGATAACACTTATTCGTCGCCTAGATATCAGGTCCATTGTGTTGTTGTGGTTCGAGCCGTTGTTGTGAAGACATTCCTTCAGCTGTGCGAGTCTGTGTTCAGTGGTCCGGTATTTCTTGGCCCATGGTCTGTAAGATCCTCCTGTGCTGCGCTATACCTGGTAATCTCGTTGACTGCCTGTATCTCCTGAAATATCCGGATCAGTGTGTAGATGTTCGGGAGGGAGTGTTGGTTCTTCTTCAGCTTCCCGTGCCAGGCTTCCAGGTGGTTGGTGGTTCTGGGTCCTTCTGTGTCGTGATGGTTCCACATGCGTTTGTTTCCTTCCATCCAATGAGTGACGACGTAATCAGTGACAGCATCCTCCAGTTCCTCCAGGGCGTTGAACCAAACATCCTCAACGCGGTCCAGTGGTACAAGGGGTTGTACTGCTGCTAATCTCACAAGACGGTTGATGTAGTCGTTTTCTTGGTAGGATATCTTTAGGCCGTTGGTCTGGGCGTTCTTCCGAATACACTGGGTGTGTAGTGGAAAAAACATCCGCGGATGTTGACTGCAGGGAAGACTCGTCGAAGGGCGTTGTGGGCAGCTATCTCGAAGTCCAGGAATGCAGTCGTCGGGTTTAGTGGGAGGTTAACGTTGGCCATGGTCGTTTTCAAGAAAGTGAAAAATGTGGTGTAGATCTCCTGTGTCTTTCCTGGTAGTAGAGCATAGACCAAAGGACACATGTGTCCGTCTATCTGTGCGTGTATTGAGTAAATCTGATAGAAGAGTTTTGGGCAGGTGTAGAATGTTCCGTCACAGTAGATGGTAATAATGATATAATAACACATTTGTTCAATACAAAACCCTATCTATATCTATCATATGAAATACTAAATACAATTATTGTAAATAAACAAGAATGTAGTATATACAATAAATAAATATATCATTTTTATAAAATACTAAATAGAATTAATGTAAATGTACAATTTCTAAAATTAACCAACTATATTAGCCTACAATAACCACTGTATAAGTCCATAGTCAAAATGTTTGCCCACTTAGTATCTCCCACAGGTAAACAGACATTTAACAGGTAACCCGTAGTTACCTGACTTTAATCCCTTAAAATAACATACCAGATAATTGGTGTTGGCAAACTGGGTACACCCCGTTCAATTCAATGTAAAAGTTTACACCTACATGTATAGCGATCGCGAGAGTATCGGCGAGTCTGCCATTATACCAATGACACAGCCGGGCTACAAATAAATGATCAATCTGTTTATGTTATATAACAAACAGAATTTTGAATTTGGGTGATCAGTGCGGGGCGTGATCCTGCCGGAGTTTGAAAATAAAACATGGTATCGCTAAATGTGAGCCATGATCCTGATTTTCAAAATTCCTTATATGATATTTCTTCATTTCTTCTTCCTTATTTTGTTTTCTTGTGATATAAAAAAGTTATATTTAATATCTATTTTACTTTTTGATAACATTGCCAGTGAAGTATGTGTAACCTGGAGATAAAATGTTTTTGTCACCAATAATTCAATGCATGATAAGATAATTTAATGCTTAACAGACCAAAAGTCCATATTAAACCAAGGCATTTGTTAAAATATTTAAGTTTTTAGAATCATTTGTCAATGAGATCTCAGCATTCATTTGAGTATTAAGTTGAAGGTTTAAGTTCTTTGCGTAATTATATGAGTTATGTCACTATCTTCCGTGATTTAAAAACGAATACATGCTTTCATTATTTGAAATTTGATCTAATTACAGGTAAAGATAGTTTTCCGACATTCTATTGCTTGCTTAGTATGCTTTTTTCTGCCCCATCCTGTAGTAGCGACCTCTGGCGCTCAATATATATTACTTTTATTGCTTTTTATTTATTACTTTTAACTTTATTACTTATTTTTACTTTTTTTCCGGAAATATTATTTTCGGTTCTCCTTTTATTTTCATTATTATTCTTCCGCTCCAACAACCTGAACATTCGAGTAAGTGAAAACAGAAGGTATCTGCATAATATATTGATTGTCATAATGCACAACGAAATATATCTAGTAAAGTTTATCTTCTGTATGTCATAATTTGATTTAGATGGACTTTATTCGCAAGTATACGATCGATGATGATATGTAACATATAGGGCCGGGGGGAGAAGATGGTATACAGCAAGCAGCTGATTGTACTCCGACAATGTTAGAGGTTTTTCAAGGCGTCACCAAAGGTATTAAAACACACGGCAAAGCATTGGGTTTTACAACATTTTGTGACCTCTCTGATGGAATATCTGTATAAATTGTTACTATTGCACGCCTAGACATATGAAAGAGTCTTATAAGAAAAATATCAGTAGTTGAAGGAAGGGAGATGGATATTAAGCTCTGGATCATCACATTTAAACACACTGTTTTAGTAAGAAGTTCAGAGTGTTACAAGTACATGTACTATAAAAAAACTTGATGAAACTTTGACATAATGTGTCAACATTAATTTTGTAGAATGGACAGTGACTGCTATAAACTCTGTGAAAAGTTGATACCTGACACATATGTACAACAAGGACAACAAGCCAGACAGGTCCACCAGAACAAGATCAGACATCTCCTGGAGCAGGTAACTGTTTTCTTGATGTTTATGGTGAATTACACTATAAAGCTACAGACACTATGTCCTGATTATTTACATTGAAAAAAGACCCTATGACAATACTAATGCTGTTATGTTATAATCTAATACCTAATTCTGAAAATGAAATACTTGCAAATGTAATTTTGTTAACTCTTTTTGTAACCAAAGTAACAATACAAAGATATGTACCATTTACTGATTACCTGTGCGTCGCCAGAATAACAACGTTTGTCTTTGAGACAATGCCTGGCAACAAAAAGAGTCGAGGAGACGGAAAACCTGTCAACCAGTAAACATCTATTACCTCCCCGTTCTTCGAGAAGATACAATTTATTCTTTAATCTATTTCGTTTATTTTGGAAAACATGATTTTGTCTTATATGACATTACATAGTTTGACATTACATATAGTTTTCACCATACATTTAAATAATTCTCATTCATTTCATCTGGGAAGATATTGACAGTTATGATATAATTTCTTAAGTTATCCCTGATTGTTCTTTTAAATGTATCAAAATATTTACAATATTTTATCAAGATCTTCTGTTTGACTTCATACTTTTTTAATTCAATTTGCGGCAACAGAAGAAGCTGCCTGAGGAGGGCTGGAGTGACCTTACCATTGAAATCCTACTTCAGGAATTCTCTGTTATGGACAGCAATAATTTTCCTGGAAATTGTGGTGTGGGAGAAAGAGAAGCCAGAGTTTTTTCTCCTTTAGTACTAAAGCGACATTACAAGTAAGATGTTAGAACTGCATATCAAAATGATTTCTTTGTAGACTATTATCATAACTTATTGTAATGTCTACTTGTTAGTATTGTTAAGAAATGTTGGATTTATTTTGACATGAGTGGTTCTGTATAATTACGTTTTTCAAAAATTTGTGTTGTTTTCCTTTCAGTTTTGGACATGGAATAGGTCGTTCTGGAGAAATAACTGCCATACAACCAAAAGCTGCAGGGTCTAGTTTAATGATGAAATTAACAAATTCTCTGGCTCTTGACCTCATCAAACTCTGTGGTATAAATAATTTATGAATATTAACTGAAAAAGTAAATTAACAAATTCTCTGGCTCTTGCCTCATTAAACTCTGTGGTGTAAATATTGTATGAACATGAACTAAAATAGTAAATTAAATCCAAAACAAGTACATAAAAAGTCAGAGTCTGTTCTAACATTTAAAAACACATGTATCTGGCCTTTTTTTTTTTTTTGTATTACAATACGTGAAAATATAACATATTGGTTTCCTCCCATCCTTGATAGCGAGTATACAATATCCTATAGGCTACCCCATGAAAGATTTACTTGTGATCTGTATAGGATAGTGACATTTGGTATGAAATTTCAACTTATGATGTTATCATTCTATTTTCTTGGTCCCCTGATTCAACCCCTACTTTTGAAAAACTTAAGAAAATGGAAAAAAAACCACTCCAATCATTTCAAATCATGCTATCTTCTGGTATTGATATCTTAGGGTATGCAATAGATCTGGTCATTCCTATGTGGTGAATCTAAAATGTAGAAATAAATGCTTCTCAACATCCTAGAACAATTATCTTCTATATTGTGATTAAGATGTCATTGACATGTTGACACTGCTATGTGGCCATCATCAAGACAACTTTTACAACTTTCATATGCACTCAAGTACAATTTTGCGCCTCAAGATTTGATTTCACCCCTAATTTAAAAATGTTTTTTGTTGTTTTCTATTTATCTTATTCAATACACGTCATCCACTCTCTTATAATACATAAAGCATGGATGTATTTTATTGTTTAGCTATTCAAACACCTGTGTAGTCATGTAAAGTTTAAGTTAATGAGGTCCTTATTTCTAAAGCAGAATTATTGTAAACTTTGCAATATTGATAACAAGTGTAACTGAATTAAAAACAATCACCTTGCATCATCTGGCTATATTTTTATACTGTTCCAGTCAATTTAGAAGACAAGGTTTGGATTTTGTCACAGAAATCTCAACTGGGATAAACCAAAATTGCTCAGATAGAAGATTTTGAATAATCTTTCCACTTATCAGTGTTTGAAGCCAAGCCCCAGTTTTCATTATATGTTCGTTTGACAGACTTCAATTTTGAAACTAGATATTTGTAAGTTCTCACGTTTATTAAGTTACTGCTTCAGAGAAAACAAAGAAACAGCTTTAATTATTTTGTTTGTGTTTTGGTAATTACAGGTATTCCTTCTGTAAAGAGCTGTTTTGTGGTCCCCATGGCAACAGGAATGAGTATGGTCCTTTCAATGTTGACCTTTAAACAAAGTCGACCTGACGCCAAATTTGTTATATGGCCACGTATTGACCAGAAATCTTGTATAAAATCCATCATTACCGCAGGTATATGTCACCCCTATATATTGTAGTGATTGTGCAATGTATCTGTACAGTCCTAACTCTGCATGACCTCTTAAGATTTCATTTGATATTTTATTGATTAAAATATTTGATCATTTAACTTAAAAATAAGAATATTTCAGTCAAAAGTAAAACAAATACGACATCCTGTTGTTTGTTGGTCACATTCTCGTATGGATACATGCATTTCTTTTTCTGAGATTGCTCTAAAGAATCGTTTAACACATCTTTTAAAAACAGTAATTTGACTTGTTTAGTTAATCAATTACTTAATCAATGGTAGGAATATTACTTGATACATTTATTGTTTTTTGTAATTGTTGAATTATGATTATTACAAGAAATACATATGTAATTAACTTATTTAAAGAGAGTACTGTAACTCTTAACAAGAGAGATAAATATGTAGATGTATAAGGTAGCATATAGCCTTAACTCTTAACAGTAATCACAGGGATTATGTTAACTTAAGGCAGCATATAACCTAATAACTAAAAATCTTTCATAATATGATGAAAACTTGCTGTAATGTTTTGATGTAGATGTTGTTCTTGTTCTTTTCCCAGACCAAGAGAGGTCTATCTATACTAAAATATCATGAAAATGTTGGTAAAGTAATATTACACATTAGATGATAGGCTAACAAATATTGAGTAATACATGAGAAGTTGACATAGACTTATACATGGGAATGATTGTAGATGAGATTGTTTTCCACAAGAAAAGTATACACTAACCTTCATGTGAACTGTCTAGATAGGGCTGGGGTAATTACTTATATAATCAGGGAATGAATTAATACATGGACATTTGTTATAGATTGAGTAACAAAAGTATGCCTCTGGCTACTGGTCAAACATACTTGCCCACTGGTCTACAGGTGTCAGTAATACATTTTGCAGGTCTCACTCTTGCATTTTAATTATGATTAAAAATCTGACATTTGTATAACTAAACACAATTTTGAATAATTTATATAACTCACATATTAATTTTAATAGTTCAATAAGTGAGAATGTGGGATAGAGATGTTCCACTTGAATGGTCACAAAATGTCATAAAACCTGAGGCTTTACCGAGGGTTTTAACATATTGTGACAGCGAGGGTAAAATTTCCCATCCTTCACCCTAACATGTGAAAGAGTATTTTTTCTCTCATTTCTTATTCCAAAATATTGAAAAAAATAAGTTTAAGACATTGACAATGTACTTCCAAGGATGCCATAGTACGAAATAATCATATACCAGGTATTTTCATTTTGCAATTAATCAAAAAGTTGATATAGAAAATTAATTATTCATACCTAGATTTTTTAGAAGCAAAGTTTGCCTTGGAAAATTAAAACAAAATATAAGCAGTCACTGCAAATAACGTTCTGTGTACATGTGTGTATACTTAGTATTAGGTGATGACATTAATTGGTAAGGAACATGTCACATTTCTAGGTGTGCATACCTGTATTTCATGGGGGTATGTTTTACAAGAATAGCAAACCTGGATGAATTGCTGTATACAGTTCAGTATTACACAGGTAGAAATGAGAGAATAAAAGTTAATGTGCTACATAAATGTAAAATACAATATTATACATCAATAAATTACACATAATTAATGTAAACTGACACTAGTTGCCAATTATTAAAAGTAATAAATTTCTGAGATAATGAACACCATTACGCATATGGCATTGCCACAGGTCTCACTCCTGTGGTGGTGGAGAACAAACTGGAGGGGGATGAGTTGAGGACAGATGTACAAGCAGTCAGAGACAAGGTAGCAGAGCTGGGAGCAACCAATATCCTTTGTATCTTTACTACAACCAGTTGTTTTGCACCAAGAGCCCCAGACAGGTACACATTTAATCACATAATTACCTAATTGACCAGTCATGTCTGACATAGGGAAGAAAACACTTAGGACTGATCAGTTTGGCGATATAAGTCATCCTTTAGGAGCTAAAAATTTTAATTCAGTTATCATGAAAGACTCATACATTTACATACATTGGTTTTTAGATAATGACAAGACATTTTTTTCTTTGTTGTAGGCTTGAGGAAATAGGAGAGATTTGTAAAGTCAGTGACATTCCACATCTTGTCAACAATGCTTATGGTCTACAATGTACCAAGTGCACACACCTCTTACAGCAGGTAAGTATAGGGGAAATCACTCTAACAGTTTTTTATTCAGCATCAGTAACAACTTGCTAACTAGTAAATGAAATGGTAGTGTGTATGAGAAGTTAAATTTGTCTTGTTATTGAATGAAGTAAGTTAAATAAAAACATACCTGGTATCCGAGGAATTTTGTTTGATTATAAGAGTATCTGGAAAATAACTTAGCCTGCATTTAAACTAGGATCATGAGATGTGATGTATACATTGTTCATACTTAGGCAATGAGCAGTTTACCAAATTCAGGGCCCACAACCCCTCAATAACAGAATTATTGCCCTTTGTTAAAATTTCATGTCTGGAGCATAACTTTGCTTGCATTAAAACTTGGGAAATTAAATATAGTGTATACATTGATCATATGAAAGCAATAGTTAGGCCCACAACCCTTTAATTACAGAGTTATTTCCCTTTGTTAAAATTTGTGTCTGAAGCATAACTTGTCCCACATTTAAGATAAGTAACTGAAATGTGATGTATACATTGGTCATACAAAATTAATGTGCAACCCTAATAGCCCATCATACACAAATTTAAAGTCATTTCTAGATCACTGTTTGCAAAATCACATATTTGTGAATATGTCTGAAAAAATAAGTTAGCAAAATAGAGTATTCATGAAATGTAAGTTATTTACAGCATACAGTTTGGCAGGGCCTTATTGAACATACAGTACAGAACTCCCAGCATCAAAGTACAGAGTAATTGACCTTTGTTAAAATTTTACACAGGCCATAACATTCAAAAACTTAGATAATGGAACTTGGTGTATACATTTGTAATACTAAGGCAATGTACAGTGTATCAAATTCAGGGTCGTCTACCTCTTGATTACAGAGTTAATGCCCTTTGTTAAAATTCTATATCCATAATATAACTTTGCTTTCAGATAAACTAGGATAATGAAATTCTGTATATACATTGGTCAAACTAAGAGGATGTACAGTATAACAAGTTCATTGCCTAAAACCTTTTAATTACGGAATTATTGCTCTTTGTTAAAATTTTGTGTCCAATAAAGGGAGCATTAATCAGTCTTACTGATACCTTTTTTCATTCTGTTTTGCAGGCAGCAAGGACAGGAAGGGTGGACGTGTTTGTACAAAGTACAGACAAAAACTTCATGGTGCCTGTTGGAGGATCCATCATTGCTGGTTTTGATAACAAACTACTGGAAAAAATTAGTAAAACATACCCTGGTACATAATGTTATTCAACCTATACATTCCTTTTTCTGCTATGTGAGATGTTTGCTAACAGGTTTTTATTGTAATTAAAGATCATGGTTGCTCCTGAGTTGTATAAAAGAGACCTTTATCACCAGTTTGTAGAGCAGGGGGCTTAGATGCTGGGAGTTCTGCACTGTATGCTCAATAAGGCCCTGCCAAACTGTATACTGTAAATAACTTACATTTCATGAATACTCTATTTTGCTAACTTATCTTTCAGACATATTCACTAATACATGATTTCGCAAACAGTGATCTAGAAATGACTTTGAATTTGTGTATGATGGGCTATTAGATATATGGACTCTGATAATGGTAAACCAATCAGCATGGATATAATCAAGAATTGTTTCAAATAATCGTGAGGGATTTTAATTCACCATTGACTCTCCTCGTGTATTAATGCAAATATAAGTGATTTACAGTATGTGAACCTCACATAGAGTTAGACTCTTGCTTGGCGGTATAGTGTGGATGATGCTTCAAGCATCATGTTTGCTAGATTTTACATGTAGCAGTACACATTGGGGAATCATGATCCTTTAATATCTAGATCAACTGGTGGAGTTTTGGACTGGGAAACTTGGGTTGTCATGTTGGATTCCTAGTGAAAGCACACTTCTGTCTTTGCAATGGCGTCTGTTGTCTTTCCTGTTGTAAAAACAGTGATTTAACTGAAGGAAGAACATACAATAGACAAACAATTTGATGTCATTGATGGAAAAAGTAAATTAAAAGCATGTTAAACAGCAACAGCACTCCATGTTGTAAGAGATTATATACATGTAGTGCATTTGTATGGTTATCAATTGACAGAAAATGCCTGTAACACAAATTCTTTTGAAGACTTCTTTTATCGCAAGTGTCCAAATAATTTATTGTCTTATTGATAAATATAGAGAAAATTTACTTTGTGAAACTTTCTTATTGATGTCAGTTATTTTGTCAATTCTGCTTTTTAAATGATTAATCAACGACCTTGACAGGGCGGGCATCAATGTCTCCAACCATGGACCTGTTTATTACTTTGCTCAGTATGGGATCCAAGGGTTACCAAGCTCTAGTCAAGCAGAGGAAAGAGCTGTACACCTATCTACAAACATCCTTGTTACAGTGTGCCACTAAACATGGGCAACGACTCCTCAAAATAACCCACAACCATATATCTATGGGTAGGTCTACACTTTACAATTGTATATCTATGGGTAGGTCGCACCATACAGCTGTATATCTATGGGTAGGTCCACCATACAGCTGTATATCTATGGGTAGGTCGCACCATACAGCTGTATATCTATGGGTAGGTCACACCTTACAACTGTATATCTATGGGTAGGTCACACTTCACAATTGTATATCTATGGGTAGGTCGCACCATACAGCTGTATATCTATGGGTAGGTCACACCTTACAACTGTATATATATGGGTAGGTCAAATCTTACAACTGTATATCTATGGGTAGGTCACACCTTACAACTGTATATCTATGGGTAGGTCACACCTTACAACTGTATATCTAAGGGTAGGTCTACACCTTACAACTGTATATCTATGGGTAGGTCACACCTTACAACTGTATATCTATAAGTAGGTCACACCTTACAACTGTATATCTATGGGTAAGTCTACACCTTACAACTGTATATCTATGGGTAGGTCACACCTTACAGCTGTATATCTATGGGTAGGTCACACATTACAACTGTGTATCTATCGCTAGGCACGACCTACACCTACATATTTCCTAAAGCTATATAACTATGGATATTTTACAGCTGATAATAGGTTGGTTACATCATTCAGTTGTATATCTAAGGGTAGATCACACTCTACAACCATATATCACCAGACTGGTCTCTCCCCAAAGTCTTACAGCTAAGTCAATCTCATCCTACAAACAAAGTCAATGTGAAGGTCATGCCTCTGAACTATAATCTCTGGATATATCACACCTCATACTCATGATCTCTGGTAGGTCACACCGCTTTTCCATAATCTTTTGGTAGGTCACACCTCTTTTCCATAATCTTTTGGTAGGTCACACCTCTTTTCCATAATCTGTAGGCAGGTCTTACCTCTTACCCATAATCTCTTGGTAAGTCACACCTCTTACCCATAATCTGTGTGTAGGTCACACCTCTTGGTAGGTCACACCTCTTACCCATAATCTCTTGGTAGGTCACACCTCTTTTCCATAATCTGTGGGCAGGTCTTACCTCTTACCCATAATCTCTTGGTAGGTCACACCTCTTACCCATAATCTGTGTGTAGGTCACACCTCTTGGTAGGTCACACCTCTTACAACCCATAATCTCTTGGTAGGTCACACCTCTTTTCCATAATCTCTTGGTAGGTCACACCTCTTACCCATAATCTGTGGGTAGGTCACACCTCTTACCCATAATCTCTTGGAAGGTCACACCTCTTACCCATAATCTCTTGGAAGGTCACACCTCTTACTCATAATCTCTTGGTAGGTCACACCTCTTACCCATAATCTGTGGGTAAGTCACACCTCTTACCCATACTCTGTTTGTAGGTCACACCTCATAACCATAATATGTTGGTAAGTCACACCTCTTACCCATAATCTCTTGGTAGGTCACACCTCTTTTCCATAATCTGTGGGCAGGTCTTACCTCTTACCCATAATCTCTTGGTAGGTCACACCTCTTACCCATAATCTGTGTGTAGGTCACACCTCTTGGTAGGTCACACCTCTTACCCATAATCTCTTGGTAGGTCACACCTCTTTTCCATAATCTCTTGGTAGGTCACACCTCTTACCCATAATCTCTTGGTAGGTCACACCTCTTTTCCATAATCTCTTGGTAGGTCACACCTCTTACCCATAATCTGTGGGTAGGTCACACCTCTTACCCATAATCTCTTGGAAGGTCACACCTCTTACCCATAATCTCTTGGTAGGTCACACCTCTTACCCATAATCTCTTGGAAGGTCACACCTCTTACTCATAATCTCTTGGTAGGTCACACCTCTTACCCATAATCTGTCGGTAAGTCACACCACTTACCCATACTCTGTTTGTAGGTCACACCTCATAACCATAATCTGTTGGTAAGTCACACCTCTTACCCATAATCTCTTGGTAGGTCACACCTCTTACCCATAATCTGTCGGTAAGTCACACCTCTTACCCATACTCTGTTTGTAGGTCACACCTCATAACCATAATCTGTTGGTAAGTCACACCTCTTACCCATAAACTCTCGATAAGTCACACTTCTAAAACATCATATCTAGTAGGTCACACCTCATAACCATAATCACTTGGTAGGTCACACCTTCTAACAATAAACTGGAAAGGTCACTGGGTATCTGGGTTGATCACAACACCCATCAATCAGCTCACACCTCTCCAATATAAACTCTTGGTATGTCACATCCCATTACGATGATCTCTTGGTTGGTCACATGACCTCTTAACTATAATCTAATTAGCTAATATCTACATTTGATTATGTGGCAAGTAAGTTGCTCAGTAAAGCAATACACATTCATGGGAAAGTTATACTTTTCATATATCTTACATAAACTTTATCATATACCTATACTTAGTCATACATTACAACAAAGCTTGTAGAGTTTGCTTGTTCATTGACCACAACCTCTGTTACGGATAAGTGATGTCCATAATTATACCTTTAGTAAAGCTTCATATATTTAAAGACAATTTGTGACAGGCTGGAAGCCCTATAAATATACCAGGTGTTAGGTAACACTTACAACTCCACTGTATACCTGTAGATATTGCTTTAATATGGCTAGAAAATTAGTTTTATAATTAAGGAAGGATATTTAGTACTGTTATACATGTTTTGTTTTCTAGGATATATATAGGAATTGTTTTTGTGTATTACATATATACATAGATCAATCGTAAAGCATGTTCCAACTTAAAGATATTTACTGTCTTAGTGAAGACTTTATTTTTCACATTATATACAAATATTTCTATCGTTGTCACAATGCGAACATACAGAATCTGTGTGGTTTTACATTATGTATTAAATTATAGCCATGACTCTGGCAGTTGATGGGTTCAGTGCTACCGATATAGGCTCCAAGCTGTTTACCCGTTGTGTCTCTGGAACAAGGTAAAAATATTTAAAATGTGGGCTATAAATGTAAGTTAATTGCAAAACTGCCCATTTCTGACACTAGTTTGACCCATGATATGCATGCATAATGTTTGTCTTTTTCTTATCATAATGAAAGCTTATACCTTTGCAAGATCACTAGTAAATAGGTCACAATATTTCCACTATATCATTGCAGTTCATTCATATTACATCTTATTCTTTCACAATTTCACTGATAAAACAAATTGATATTTGTCAATCTTGATAATACCATGGCTTCTTCTATCTACCCATGTCTTAGGATTACACTCTTCCTTTCTACAGGGTTGTGACTCAGACAGGAAAGATCAGTGATATAAATGGACAGAAGTTCTGTAATTTTGGTGCCCACTGTGATGTGTATCCCTGCTCCTACCTTACAGCTGCAGCTGGCATTGGGATGACAAAAGAAGATGTTGATACTTTTATATCCAGACTGGACAAAGTGTTATCCAAGTGTAAAATGTTGCCATACAACTCAGACCACAGAACAGTTGTACATGAAACAAAAGATATATTGTCACAACAGTCTTCCAGTAATGAAAAATCAAAAGATGAAGTGCAGTCTAGTGAGACATTTTGTGAGGATGCAAGTCAAACTGTGACGTAGAAGTTACCAAATTTTAGACTTAATTAAGATTTTTTATTTAAGCAGATGTGGAAGTATAGACATTTCCAGTAAACCAATATGAAATATAAAAGCAGCTTTTAAATCTTGCTGATAATGACATTTAGATATAGGTAGTACTACAAATGATTTTCATTAATTAGTGACTTTACTTGATTTTACGAATTAAGCAAATAAGAAAAATGAAATAAGATAACATTAATTTTGTATAAAATTAGGAGTACCACAAATTATTCTTATTAATCAGTGTCTTTAATCATTTTTATGCTTTAAGCAAAAATATAACATTTATATAAGATGAATTTAAAAATTTTCAAAACAAGCTTCAAGGGGGTGGGGTTGATTTGCTCATCTAACCAGAGAATGTGATATGGATGCAGTGTATATACTACACATGGAGTAAGATGTATGTGCCATAGTTCAGTAGAAGGAAATCTGTCTCCCCCAAGAGTCAGACAAGCACCTGTATATATACTGAGTAAACAGACTAGCATGCCTGGTTCAAGTTGCTCAAAGGTTAGTTACAGTTAACCAGTGATCAGTGGAAATTCAAATTGTTGCTACACTGTAAAAGTATGGACTTGAAAAACAACACTGTCAGTAAGAAATATCAATCTGACCTATCTCAACAATTCTATAACTGTGAAATCATTAAGAGTATTCCCTATTCGGTTTTTTTTTTTCACTTTTGAAAGTTTTCACTAACCACTTGTTTTCTCTAATCAAGTTATAAACAACCAGGGGCTATATGGTAAGGCAACACTGGGACGAGGAACATCTTCTAAAAATGTTTGATATCCACCCCATGAGAGGGACACTAGTCGATCCCTTTTTTTTTGTGTGAACCCTGACATTTGTTGGTGAGATATTGCTTAATAGGAAGAGTCACCAGAAAGAAAACCAGGAACTGATCAGTTAAAAATTTGGATTTATCCATGTTAAAACATGAAGATTTTGTTTAATGTTTTGGATCCAAACTTGAGAACACTCTTGGCTGCGCCTTCCCTACACCACACCACATTTATATCTAATATTAGGTAACTGGTGCATGTTTTTACTGTTTATACAAGTTGGGGTACAACACATAATTTGTGTCTTTATTGTTATTTGCTTGCCGTACATTATAATAATGATTTATCTTTGTCTTGTGATATGTTGATGTACGTATTTGCTGCAATATTTTAACTGCTTAATAAATAAATTTCAATATTTTCCAAAGCATTTTCTTCAAGTTGGTAATGTCAATAGAATAGAAGTTCTTATAACACAGGCCTGTAGAAGATTTGAGTGTGACGTTGTGATGAATACACAGTCATGTTCATCAGACAAGTGACCAATGTTAACAATTCTAACACTGACTTACCTAGTGTACAAGATAGTAAGGAATCTACCAATATTTTCAGCTGTACTTTAATTCTTTGCACATGAAGATTGAAAATAGTGTCACTAGATGGTAAATAGTAATAGGGGAAAAAAATGCCCCCTCCCTTGCAACAAAATTCTGAAGTGGGACATTAAAAATGTACTGTGTAAGGCATGTGCTACTACATGCACACTTTGTAAAAGACTTAAGTTTTCATTTTGGTAATGATTCGCAGTTTTGATTCAAATGTAAACATTCTTTTAATGTAGGTTAAAGGTTACGGTCAAGGTCACATGGTCAAAATTTTCGGTACTACCGAAAAGGTTTTACCACTGAGAACACACATAATCCTACCTCTTACGATGCTATAGTTATGGGCAAAGTTAGAGTTCACAATAGACAGAAAAACATACTAACAATGTGCTATAGTCTTTTTGGCTCCATGTAGACGTCGGAATTTGAACGCTTTGCTCCTGGAACTCGGATGACTGTCAACACCCATAGTTTCACACATTATTCAGCAGAACATGCTAGTGTTTTCAGTAAGTAATACCTAAATGAATGGAGAAGGAAAGTTGTGTGCTACAAGTGTTTATCTAGATAAGATAAAAGAAAGTCAAATGCTCAGAGAAGTATGTGTAATTAATAGTATTATGTTTTAATCACTAACTCATTAGAAATAATTTTCTCTGACATGATTACTTAAACACAACATTCACTACAGGGATCAACAAGACGTCAGGGATCAACAAGACATCAGAAACATAGATTTTTTATTATTATTGTACCATTTCACCAAGAGATGTTATATGAACTCAATAACCTTGATTGAGATGTTTTGGGTAATGATGGTGATATATATGTATATATATATTCAACCACAGGGTTTCTACACGATTTCCCAACCCACGGTCCATATATTTGTATTATAGTGTCACTATAATAGATATATGTGAAAAATGGTTGAGAATCCATGCCAAGTCCCTGTACATCCCATACTTTGTAACGTTATATTGATAATTTACCAGTTGCCGAAAATTCACTACATCAGATGTACATTTATAACAGGCATTCATTATATCACGAAAGATAGACTTGGTTCGTTATAAGACATACGTCATTCAATTCTACTTTGACTTACATTCGACCAGATATTAATGTGCTGTATAACAGTCCCGCCTGCTTTGGGTCGCTGGTTAGAATATATTACCATCCACCTTTCAGCGTAATTTAGTGTAATTGACTCTGTGTTCCATGAAATGCAGCTGATGTAGAGGTTGCCATCACACAAATTAAACGCGCTGTGACACGTTCAAGAGATTGAAACACGTGCTTCCTTCCTGCACTGCATCACATACACTGTGGTAAGTAGAGGTATTTAATTGAAGTGAAGGGCTTAATATTTTTATAACTAACGGCGTCAATAAGATTTAGAAGGGGGAAAAATGAATAATTAAGGAACTCATATATATCGTTTTTCTTGGAAATGCGCAAGTATGTTGATGTGGAATGAAACCGAATATATACCATTTTACACTCACATACCTGGGAACCTTGAGGTGAGCGGAATTTTCGCTCAAACTTTGGTACTGCACTCGACGACCAACTTTACACACTTCTTGCTTTAAAAGCTCACACCAGTTCATCATATGCTCAACGGAGAACACTCATCTGAAACTCGTGATCAGCTGAGTTTTGTGTATTGTATGTTTAGCTTTATCTATACTGGACGTTCAGTATTGTCTACTGCATGTTCAGCTGTATCTATACTGGATGTTCAGTATTGTCTACTGCATGTTCAGCTGTATCTATATTGGATGTTCAGTATTGTCTACTGCATGTTCAGCTGTATCTATATTGGATGTTCAGTATTGTCTACTGCATGTTCAGCTGTATCTATATTGGATGTTCAGTATTGTCTACTGCATGTTCAGCTGTATCTATATTGGATGTTCAGTATTGTCTACTGCATGTTCAGCTGTATCTATATTGGATGTTCAGTATTGTCTACTGCATGTTCAGCTGTATCTATATTGGATGTTCAGTATTGTCTACTGCATGTTCAGCTGTATCTATACTGGATGTTCAGTATTGTCTACTGCATGTTCAGCTGTATCTATATTGGATGTTCAGTATTGTCTACTGCATGTTCAGCTGTATCTATATTGGATGTTCAGTATTGTCTACTGCATGTTCAGCTGTATCTATATTGGATGTTCAGTATTGTCTACTGCATGTTCAGCTGTATCTATATTGGATGTTCAGTATTGTCTACTGCATGTTCAGCTGTATCTATATTGGATGTTCAGTATTGTCTACTGCATGTTCAGCTGTATCTATATTGGATGTTCAGTATTGTCTACTGCATGTTCAGCTGTATCTATATTGGATGTTCAGTATTGTCTACTGCATGTTCAGCTGTATCTATATTGGATGTTCAGTATTGTCTACTGCATGTTCAGCTGTATCTATATTGGATGTTCAGTATTGTCTACTGCATGTTCAGCTGTATCTATATTGGATGTTCAGTATTGTCTACTGCATGTTCAGCTGTATCTATATTGGATGTTCAGTATTGTCTACTGCATGTTCAGCTGTATCTATATTGGATGTTCAGTATTGTCTACTGCATGTTCAGCTGTATCTATATTGGATGTTCAGTATTGTCTACTGCATGTTCAGCTGTATCTATATTGGATGTTCAGTATTGTCTACTGCATGTTCAGCTGTATCTATATTGGATGTTCAGTATTGTCTACTGCATGTTCAGCTGTATCTATATTGGATGTTCAGTATTGTCTACTGCATGTTCAGCTGTATCTATATTGGATGTTCAGTATTGTCTACTGCATGTTCAGCTGTATCTATATTGGATGTTCAGTATTGTCTACTGCATGTTAAGCTGTATCTATATTGGATGTTCAGTATTGTCTACTGCATGTTCAGCTGTATCTATACTGGATGTTCAGTCTTCTATATTGCATGTTCAGCTGCTATACTTCGAGACTTCGTTTCAATTGTTAAATTGATTTGTTTTTAAGCAATACTGAACTATTTATTTATTTATCATAATCGATGTCATATCCAAGAAACGTGTATACTTAACATCTATGTTTAGTACATACATTGTGTATATATAATTAAATGCTCCTTTTCCGCCTAAGAAACCTTTATTTGCATTTAAATGCCGCTTAAATCCCCGAACCATTTTTTCACAACTGAGGGATCTTATCTGTAACAGATTATTTAGTTACACAGCATTTGTTTTTAAATGTCTATTAAGACCTATTCATGTAGCCTGATCTGCTATGTAGTTTACTGTAGACAGACAGGTACGTTTATCGAAGCATGAAAAATGAAATATAATATATTTGGAAACAAACCATGTAAAGACAAACGATGTTAAATGTGTACTCGATTTTCAAAAGACCATGTGAAGTATGAAATACTCTAGGTATATGTAAGATACAGTATACATTTATATACGCCCCGATGTAAAAAAAAAATATGTTTTGAATCCTTTGCTATACAAGTCCGATTAAATTACGATCGCCAGCAAAACTAACTTTTTTTATAGCTTTTATGAGTTGACAAAATGACCCTTTTCTATTTAATTTAACCGTATATGACCCTTTAAACTGAGTTGTCCGGTAATATAAGGCTACTCGATACCACTTCACGGACACTCAAAGCGACACGATTACATGCCAAGCAGGGTAATTTTGTGCGCATGTGTCGTTTCGTTTAAATCCCACGGGAGAAATCCGTAAAATAAATTAGCCTATGTCAACAATATGGCGTATACCTCAAACAGGTGCTCATTACATGGTAGCTAGGGAGATAATTAAGGCTGATGTGACCTGCCAGTTAAATCACAGTCCTCTACAAGGATGCCGGACGTCGGTAAGTCTTCTATGGCGAGTCCGGGGACAGAAACGGACCGATACCAACGAAAACGCCGCCCAAGAGCCGGTGGCAATGACAAGAAAATCGCCGACGACGAGTTTATGGCGGCTGCGATAGGAGATGTAGAATGGCTGAAGCAGAGTCTACGGGACGCTCGGGGACAAATTAACTTTGACAAAAATGTAAGTTTATTTTATTTTAGTAAGAGCGAATATATTTGTATACTATCTTTTATGATTTCATTTCAATTTCCTAATAGAATGCGTTTGTTTACATGCGTTGCTATGAGATTATCATGAGAAAGAAAGAGTCGTTCAACCGGAAATACTTTCAAGTGGCTAGATAATGATCGAGCGGAATATTAACTACACACGAGTGTATGCGTAATACCAGACAAATACCACTACATACCAATACTTCATTAGGATTGCATTTAATTATTTGTCAATTTCGATGACGGCTAGTCGTATGCACATGTACCTTCGTAAATATGACAGTAAAAGTATGCCTATTTTAAAGTGGGAAATTGCTTTTGTTAACTGTAACTGAATACACATTGCATTTCATACAATCCACTCGTTATAGAGACTTTTTATGTTATAATATTCTATTTTATATCTGTCTAAAGTGTGTTTGATTTTATCGCCCTAACAATCAAACTGAAAATTAAAACTTTAAAGGTTGAAACATCGATTTGTATTTCAAATTTGTTACTTGGAAATTGATAGACAAGACATCATTTGAAGTATTTATTGCTGTCAGTTATACTTAGACATACCCTTATCTTATTTATTTGTTTATTTTTGTGTTTTTATTTCTTTATTTATTTTTAATTTATTTATCGTATAAAATATATACAGTCAATGATATGACAGCTTTCTTGAGTTTATTAATATTTTCACTGACCTGTTCAAATATATTTTCGGACAGACATAACACAAGTTATGTACTGTATGTACGTATTTCTGATTTAGAATTTGCAAATCAGATACCCAGTGACATATCATCCTAGCTCTGTTCAAATCATTTTAATTACAATTTGCTATATTCACAATAAAGAAATTCAAAACCACGTCTGGCAGAGTTAGTTTGGACTAACATTATTAAAACGGTAATCGGATAGGTGTTTAGCTTTGCTAAACAGTCCGTTGTCTGACATACGAGAGGCTTGTTTTTTAACGTCGATCTACATATTCTATATTGGAATACTTGTGTCTAGTTATCAGCTTGCATTGATACACACATGTATATGTATTTAAGATTTGAGACGAACTAGTTTCATTCCGCGATTTGTAAGATTTTTTCCCCCTTTAATTATCAGTCTTAAATTTACTTTTAATCCATTGAACGCAAAATGGATCGAAATAGAAGGTAGATACTTATTTATTAACATGCGAGCACACAAATATTGTACGTACATATTTTTTATAACAAATGTTGCCCAACTCCATATACCAAAAAAAAAAAAAAAAAAAACAACATATTCATCAATATTTGTTCAGTCAATTCACAAAAATGTGCACCGTATATATCTAATCGGATTTGTTTTTTATACCTCATGAATAATTAGAATGTTAGAAACATCGAAACCATAAAGATGTATTCAGTAGATTCATTACTGGTAGTTCTGACGTACGTAACGATGTAACGCCGATGTTGCTACATGTGTTCCCACAAATCAGAAAAAAAAATCTAACGAATTATATTTCAGCATGGCGTGATCATGCCGAAACTAATTGAGCCATAACTTTTATCGCCCAAATTAACGTTTCTAAATCAACTTTATGTTACACGGTGTCTAGTGTTAACTCTTCGGGTGCATGCCCCAATACTTACACTATTGAAGGCGAATATATATGTATATATATTTTATATACACGAAATCATTGGTATTTAAAGTTCGGATAATTTGAATAGTGAATAATTTGAAGACACATAATTATGTCCATACTGATAAATGTGTACACGCTACCTATAGTTGGGTAATTCTGATGGTCATATCTACAAACAGTGTATACGAAATAAAATGTATGGTTACAAAAACGTTATTTCAGTTTAATTTTACATTAAACTTGTGTATCCGATGGACAGATCTATAAACAGTGGATATTAAATAAACTATACGGTTACAAAAATATGATTTCGGTGGAATTTCTACATTACACATGTGGATCTTTTATCTTTATTCTTTCGAAACTGTTGTTTATTTTCGTGAACGTTGTTTACTTTCCATGGTAATTATAACTTTGATGATTTTTTCCTTTCATGAAGATAACTCCAGAGTCATTCATTTCGTCATAACATCTATGAACATATAACAAAGGGAACAGAGATGCATTATTGTATGATGGAACTATTCTTTTTATTCAAATAACGTTGCATACTTATTCACGGAGAACATTAACTCGTGCGAGCTATTATCTTCGAAAGATATAAAACATGGAAATAACATAAAATCAGATTAGAACAAAGCAGAATAGTTGTTAATATAAATAAGCATTATTGAGATTAGAATCAGCTTTAAATCAAGGCCAATTACACAAAATAGTGCTAATATAGCAAGGATTAAGATTGACATAAATTACACGTTCATACTTGAATGTACATGTATTCCGGAATACTTAGATTTTGTTCAATATCCATTTCAGGGTCTGACGTCATTGCATCTTGCAGCAATTCATGGTCGACTAGAATGTCTGCGACTACTGATAGAGAAGTACAATTTTGACATCAATATGCCCAGTACCACCGGTTGGAGGGCTGCTCACCTGTGTATCAGCAACCAAACAGGAAAGAGGGCACTGCAGTGCCTTTCATACCTCCTCAGTAAAAAAGCGGATCCTTCCGTGTAAGTCTTTCCGATCTTTCTTTAGATGATCCTCGATTGTGTTAATAATCTCATCATATGAGACCTGCTTATTAAGTGTCCGCGCCTCAACAAGAAAAAGAAAACCATCTTCGAAAATGCAGTTACGTTTGTTTCTCCATTCATGGGCATCTCTTATCTCCCTATCACTAGCTCGGAATATTGTGGGTTCTATCTCCAGGCCATGTCAAACCTATGTCTGTCAAATTGGTACTTGATTATTGTCTGCTTGACGTTTAGATATCAATGTGTTTTTGTCAAAATCTTGTATGTCCGTAATCATTTAGCGTGACCAGGGAATAGTCCATGTTACTATGGCCATGTCAGTGTGTTGACACTATAAAGCGGAGTTAAGTGACCCAGTCATCCGAAGACATCTCTTTATAGTACTAACCAACATCCTTATATTTAAAGATGTCTCTATATTAGTATATCGATATACCAAATAAAGACAAATCTAACCATCCAGGAAGGTCTCCATACTTCCTATAAGTGCACTTCTTTACAATACGTGTACCTCTATTTCATTCACAAACCTCCCTAATTCATAAAAAGACTATTACCCACAAAAAAGATTCTCAAGTTACTTCCAAATATCCTTCATGTATTTCTTCTCAAATTTTACAGATCCTTGTAGGCTACTTAGGTTTTCATATCTCCCCCAACATAAGATATACTACATACAATGTACATATGTTTATGCAAGTCTCCCGGCTTCCTCAACAGAATACAGATATGTACCTCTAATGAAGCCTCCCTAGCTCTTCCACAGACAAATTGGTTTAATTTTGGCCGAAACCGTCAACTTCTCTGGCAGTGGGATAGTTGTGGTATTATAGATGCCTGCATAAAAAAACAATAAAACTTGAAAACAAGAGATGACTAATTAAAGTCCTAGACAACATCTAACTATACACTGTAACAGTTGTGTTGTAGAAATGTCAGTAAAAGAAGATAGGACTAACATCGTTTTCCAGTCTTTCTCAACAGAAATCCCCTAATAAGTAAAGATCACAATAAGACACTAAAATATGCCATGCTTTTAATTTTCACCATAAAGGGCCAACAATGATGGGATTACACCTGTTCACCAGGCGGCGTCTGAAGGTCACGTGCAATGCCTTAAGGAACTGATTGACATAGGGGCCGCCATAACGGGGAAAGACTGTAGAGGCCACACACCACTCGACCTGGCTAAACTTTGGGGACATAAGAAATGTGCTAGGTTGGTAACATTGCATTTTATTTGAGTTATTTTGTAGACTTAATAGAGCTCGTCGTATGTATTGAAAATCGTACCTTTTTTCTAATTGATTTCACTCAGATTCGGTTGATATTTTTTCCAACAAATGTCTATTGGAAGACCTAGTTTACTATGTAATTTGAACGAAACACTAGACCATCACTTTCAAGAAAAGATTCAAATTTTAGTTCCTCATTGCTTGTTTTTCATAACTAGTAATTAAAAATGTTGTATACTCAGGCCACTTAATAATATGTACCGACCATGAAGTAGAATGATTTCACAGAATACGATTTTCAGAACTATTTGGATAAGAAAACTGTATAAGCTGTGCTATGTCGTTGATTTTAAGATACACATACATACTCAAAGAGAAATGGTTGAAGTTACAATTAGATTAGCCATGAATTAACCAATTATTATTTTATTATCAGAATATTGGCCGCTGAGAGTTGGCATCAAGGGAAAGACCATGTAGCAAAGGAGATGGATTACCTAAAAAAATTGAAGATGCAACAAGTTATGAAGGAGATGGAAGATGAGGAAGAGAAACGTGCAGCCCAGGAGTTCTATGGAGAGAAGGCGTACCAGGACTGGCTACACAAACAAAAACTTCCTCAACAGAATACGGGTCCCAGAGGTCGGGATAGGACCGAAAAACCGACAAAGCCAGCTGGCGAGTCTCTCTACAAGGCAAACAGCAAGGTGAAAAGACCAGAAAATGCTTCATCGGGTAAATCTGCTAAATCATCTCTCAAAGGTCAGGGGTCATCCACGACTACTAACGTGCACGTGGCCTTCCGAACTCAAAGAACTCCAAGTCCCGTAGAACGCCGAGCGACCACCTTTTCACATTATGATGACGACTTTAATGTACACGAACGAAAGGAAAATGCGGAGTCGGCAAAACAAATCCAAGCGAGGTTGCGAACACCACCGTACATAAATCCGGAAAAATGGAAAATACCACTGAAAGTTCCAAAGAAAGAATATATCCCTAACTTAAAGGACGATTTCCCACGTGACCAGTTTACGCGAATGCCAAAAATGAAGTCGGCTCCAATGTTTTACACGGGAAAGCACGCGCCAAGTATATACGTCACAGATGAAAACACAAAAATCCGGAAGTTAAAATTAAAAGTGCGCGACATAGACCTTCCCGATGATGTAGTCGACAAAGTTTTAATGGACGATCCCAGTCTGGTAGAACGACCTGTCCTGTTTAAACCGATCCACATGAATGACGTGACTAAGAAGAAAAAGTACGAAATCGAGGAGAAAGGACGGAGTGAAGTCAGTTTGCATATATGTGACGATTTTAAGTCTTTGTTATTTAAAGGAAGCCTCCAAAGAGCTAATTCGTTTCATTGTGATTCTAGTTCATCGTCATCAAAGACCATCACTCCCGTGTCTGGAGGCCGAAATTGGTCGAGCGCCAAAGTTCCTCGGGAGAGAGTTGTAAATGCTTTCTTGAATATGAACGAACCGAAACATTATCCGAACATTAAAGGAGAGGAATATGACATTAATTTCGGAGAGGTCTCGATTATATGATTATTTAGTTTTCACAGTATGCAGTTGAAGGTAAGCACGTTTGATCGTGTATATCTTTGAACCAGACAGGTAGGGAGGCAGAAGCAACGGAGTAGATCGAGGTTCACAATTACCTTTCATTAAAAATGGTCTTTGATATATGATAGTGCCTTGGCTAATGTTTTGAACATGCATGATGCTGATTAAGTCTCTCGGTTGGTGTTCTACTTAGAATGTAAAGACGAATGTTTGTGGTGTTGTCAAAACAGTAGAGTAATGCATACGCTGGCACCATATCAAAACAGCAAATTACGCTTTTGTGTAATGGCGGAAGGCACTCGAGGGACTAGAATGTGAGGACTTCATGACCTCATCAAAACTAAGCGGTCGGGTGAATTTCATATGGGAATCTATGGAAGGATCCCTAAGGGGGAAATAGGTACTTTCTGACACAGGTATAACAACTAACTTGCCTCCCATTTCGGTCGATTTGTTTTCCAGTTTTCCCTTGTTTTGGCCCATCGATTTATCTTTTCTTGGTGAAATGGTCAATAGACCTACTCACCATCACCTGGCTGTGTAGCCATACAACACTTTGCCTGGAGGCAGAAAGTGTTATAGATGATAATGCATACTTTCACGTGTTATTAGCGAGCAGTACTGTATATCATAATTGAATTTAAGATTTTTAGCACTTCACGCAAAAGGGTTTTCGTTTTGTCACTTATTTTAACAAATGTAGCACTGTATTTAGACTGACATTTATCGCCGGTTTTGGTCATGCTTTTTCAATGTGGATTAAAGAATGGTCTACGAATCTCAATTTTTTTTTCTATGGAAATATTTAACCTGTTTTCATCATTTTATGAAAATGGTGATTCTATATTCCAATTCATGATCTCGGTTCACATTTACTATCAGCATTTCTCTTACAGTATATACCCATTAGTATTCACTAAACAGTATTACACGTTCGCCAGCACTTCAACAATTACCATTCCACAGGGAAACAATTACAATTATTTCAAGAGCTTTATTGACTTGGATTCGAAGCAGATTAGCTATTATCTGTTCAAAGCGAAAAATTACCAAGAACTTTGTTGTTTCCAGTTTGAAGCAATATTGTCATTATCTTTAAAATGGTTTTAAAGAATGTCAGGTGACAAATACAACATTGTGATATTGGCGAGTACAACTCGTAATTCTCTAGCGATAGGTTTGAATGTGTTTCCGTAACGCCGAAATTGACCTCCGATGGAAATGAAGAATATTTCTAATGCTGACCGGAGTCAACATGTCGGGATAGCTTTCTGTGCTGTATTAGTATTATAATGCTTGTGTATGACAACGGTGCTTACAGGTCTATACTGCTGGTATCTATATAGTCAAATGCTGGTATCTTTATAGTTCAATAAAGCTTTTATATTACTTATCACAAATGTATGTCTTATTTACTGAGTATAATTGGTTACAGATATTTAAAAAAAATATTGTATTAGATACACATTGCTGGGGGAGTGGTGGTTCTTAACTTTAGGCCGAAACATATTTAACTAATCCAGTTTATATTCATATCTGCATATACATTCTACAAAATACATAATTATGAATTGATTTCATGATTAATTTCATGTAGAAAGCAGAACAATCGTTACCGATTTGTGCTGAATTCAAACATAACTCTGCCTTACATAATTCAATGTACAAAATTCTACAGTATTCATAGTTTTTTTATTCTATATATAAAATTAAAAATGAATGTGTTAAATGATTTAAAACTCTGACAATTCTCGATAAATCACAAGTGTCGCAATACAGTTTTTTTGCCCTCTCATGAAATATCAATAATTCATGTCCGTAATTCCGTCGACATTAACGTTCAGAACTAATGGTAATGAGTGTTTTGTAGAACGCATTAAACATGACAAATAAAACATTGTTACAAAGCTTTATTCAAACACGTTTGATCTGATAAAGATAAAGATAACAAAACCAGAAAGTTTTTCAAAAATCATGATTTCCACGTCACTTCTATCAAAACAGCGGGGGTATTTCTTTTCTTTCTTTTTTTTAACAAATCACTTAATTTTGATACGTCGAAAATAGATTCCCGCAGGTTTCTATAAAAAATTCCCAAACAACGGTTTTTAAAAATCTATGGACAAGGATTGTAATGATATCTTTTTATGTATATATTTAATGAAACTATACTTATCACTTCAGTAACGTAAAACATATGACTTTGGGTGAATAAATATGTTCACAATAAAACTGAAAACTTTGAATATGTACCCGTCGTATATGACACAAAGAATTGATGTGTTACTTATTAGTGCACAGCTCGCCAAGGTTAGATTTTTAAAGGTTAAAAAAAAGTGCAATTACCCATAACATGTCTGGAAATTCATTTTCAATGATGCGATCCCATTGTATATTACTTATAAAATACTGAAATAGATGGAATCAATCTTGTCATTTATTTTAGCAATCATTATGGTTCAGTTATTCATATAACCAGTGTGTATTCCATTGATGTTACATTAAGACGTGGATTTGAAAGATTTTTATAGTGTCGTTCCCAAGGAGGACGATATATAGACAATTGACGAACTGGCAAAGCATTTCCTGTTGGAAAAAACATTGTGTTATACACAGATATAAGTCTCCGTCAAATGTAATTTGAAATTTTCTCACATATTTGACAAGACACGATTCATTGAAATGTTTCACATAAGAAATAATCTGATTTTCTTCAAACAAAGTTTTCTGGTTACATTCACGCACTCATTTGTCTCTAGTGAGTTTCACTTTGGTGAAAGAAGCGTCGATTTAACATCGATGTATCAAGAGTCAATTAAACACCGATTTAATAAAGATAAACCGTTCAACAGCTATCAAGCGTTCACTATCTTTAGATGGAGGCGGGAAATGATGTAGCACTGTTCGATCTCTAGAAACATTACGAAATAAATCACTTCAGATCACACGAAGAATAATTAACTTACTGCAACTTTGCCCTTTATCACATAATCTCGCTGTGTACTCATGAATAATTTGTTATCTGTAACTTTGGTACAACATTGATATAACTGAAACGTAAAAGGACACAGGACGTTGATAACATCACGTTGTAAGAGCTACGTACGTAACTAGAAACGAAATGGTTTTGAAAGATAACAAACGCCTGTAAAGGCCTCGCGGAGACCGTTTCACGATCCATGCAGTACATTCTGTTAACACAATAATACCACCGGCAACAGATAGTGCTTTGAGCGATCGATGGTGCTGATGTTCTCTCCGAACTATTTGTCGTATATATCCACAATAGATTTAGAACACTTCCTTCAAATAGTTTCTTTTTCGCTGAGTAAGAAACTAGTTCTGTCATCCAGTGGGTCTTGAAAAAGCAAGTTTATCTCATATCTGTATCTGGTTCAACTGATTCTGTCTATTCGTTTAGCAGTACTAGTTCTGATTTATGCAGCTGTAACCTAATTCCGTTTGTAATTAAACACACTTTTATTTTTAGAGCGTCATTAATATGTTGTCACTGTCTCTCGAGGCCTTCTCAAGAACTAGAAAAATGTCATTCTTTTGATATTCGAAGGTCCTTTTCAAGCGAATTTCCAATAGAAATTCAGAAAAAGCACTATCGGCTGTGATATACTCCAAAAATCTATTGTGCATGGACGATTAACTATAGGAATGTGCTATAGAGTTGTCTGGCCCGGTGGATCTGTTGGGATGTAAACTTCAGCTTTCGAATTTTTCCTGAAAAGAAGATAAGATAATAAAGGTATGAGTCAAGATAAGAACGCTTTCAATATTTTTTTAAGAAAGAAATGATCAGGTTACTCATTCAAAATGCAAGATGTCTCTGAAATTTCAACGAACCATAATGAAATGATTCATTGTCTTTTGTAGTTCTAAGTTTCCAGCGATTAAAACTTATTTACTGCAGTATCAACCTTTGATATCAATTTGTTCACATTATTACGTGGGACAGCCCGTAATTGGTTATACTTGCTTTTACCAGTTGTCTTGTACATGCCAAGATGTATTTCTAAAATCAAGAAAACTGCCATACGACTTATTGGTAATTAACATGGATTCTTATTGACAATTTAAGACGCATGAATAATCTGGCGTTAGATGATCTGGATTTTCCCGAAATGATCTTCATATGAATTTTTGCAAAATTGAACATATGCGAATGGTTCAGACGAAGTATTCAAAATAGCCAACCAAGATTATTATCTGCAGTATACATAGAAAAAACATCTATTGTAATAACGGGCTATCCCTAACCTATATGTAAATATTACTCGATATATTGAACAAGTAGCACTTATGACCTAGTTACCCCACCAAGAATCCATCTTCTGATCTTTACACACATCAAGCAATACGTAAGATAAAAATTACTGACCTAAATACAAATATACATGAAAGCGGTATTACAGATGCCGTGCCATGCGGGATATTTAAGATCGTACAAAAGACACAAATTAATTGGACCGTTTGATACATATCTAGGTAAGATTGAGTAGAGACAAACAATGAATTAATGGTCAGTGAGAGTAACTACACACCTATCTAAGCCTCATCAAATTATTAACGCTGTTAGGTTTGATAGACCAACAAGTGGGCACTGACCTTGTTGTCCAGCATACATAACACAAAAGAACTATCAGCAGTCCGACCCCTGCTGCCCCGAGCACGGCCACAGTCGTAAACAATAGGGAAATATCCACAGTTTCAACCGTCTCCAACTTCGCTGCAAAAGAAATGTTGGATTATATGCTTGCAAATATCATTTTCTTTTCCGACTTCTTAGTTGATTCATTTTTTCTGTTTACTCGGTGTTTACTCATTGTCGTGTGTAAAATATTCATAAGTTCTGTTGGCGTTTTGATCAGCCGATTCAAAAATAAAATTGTAATGTGTAGAACAACGTTAAATTGGAAACCTTCCTTGCTGATGATGTTTTGAGAAAGAGGGACACTGAATATACGGTAAAACGTACAGCGCTGCGGAAAGAGCAAAGGCAGGCCTCACCAACGACAATACGAAGGTCAGAGGAACACGTCTTTAACCAAATCAGTCAACCTATCTATCACAATGCGGTAGTCAATCGTTAAAAAAACCACTAATCACCTAGCGGGAGGAATGAAGATGAGAAAAAATGTTGCAATTGTACGATAGTGGCATTCCATTAATGGAGATGGCAGTAAAGGTCAAAGATAATTTCTCGACAACAAACAACCCGACAGCTGCGATCGTCAAACTGTACATCTTCTCTGAAATAGATGACAGGAAATCAAAGAGGAGGAGCAGTTTTTACAGCCGAAGCATCGCAATGAATTTCAGAAAGAAAAGTCAGAATGCTAAATCATTTTGAAAGCAGTGATGCAGTTTGCGGTGGTCTCTACGCATTACTGATATATAAAAACAGTTTTAGAGACAGCTATTTCAGAGAAAACGAAAATAAAATATATAGAAAAGATAAAATAAATAATAATAAACACAAAAATAACACACCAAGAGGAAAATATCTATGTTTTTTGATCGATAGCACCTAAGACGAGACTTATACGTTACTGGAAAATATATATACGGTTTCTTATATACGCTTATAACTGACACAAGATTACGAAAATTATATCACAAGTATAGAGACGCCATGTAACCTGTATCGCAATTGTGAATAAATAAACATCCACCAATGTGTGTTTGTAGTATTTATATATTCTTAGTGGTTTTCTTACTAGAGATTATTTATATGAAATGTTGCAGAAGTTATTTTCCTTTACCTACTTTCAAGATATTTACAAAGAGTGGTGATATACTCGCTTTCACTAGACGTCCGCGTTTCAATTCCCCGAGTTGACGTTATAAGGTGTGGGGTCATCTGCCTCACCACATAGGGTTTCCCCGTGTAATTCGACATCCTCCCAAAGAAAACCCTTTGCGCTTTTTTTTCAACTGGGCCAACAAGAGTCAAGAGTGATTAGCATAACCCAGATAATTCTATTCGAATTAGAAGGGAAGGGGTAGTTTGGGTGTTAACCAAAGAGAAATGGACAGATCACTGCGATGGAAACAGCAGAAACTACTATGATTTTATATGATGAATAATGTTTTTTCTTTTTTTTTATATTTTGTATATTGTGGTTAAATATATACTACATCAGGAACGATACTATTAGTGCAGCATCCTTCGTTACTTTCTTTATCTCATTTTATTAATGTCGCTTTTTACTATAATCACCCACATATTGGTTGATTTTTTGTATACTAAGCCGACCTTATACATCGTATCTGCAATATGATATCTCATGTGTTCAGACACCGTATCTAAAACTAGATAATATATCACAAAACTACCATTAACGATAAGACATGGATGGGGACTTTCTGGGGTAAACAGATCACAGCTGGAAGGTAATAAATCATCCAGTTCTTTTTATACTTTAACGAATAAACTAAATAATCATTTACATGACCAGTAAGAGTAGCTGACATTCATGAAGTAAATTCTAAATAGTACCAGATATAAAATGTATATCATAGGCACTGTTAGTAGGACGTGTATAATCAAACAAAAAATTAATTGAACATTCATACAAAAACCGAACTATGATATAGATACTACTTCTGATTGCCAAACATATTCTATCAAAAGAAGATGGGAAATGGAGTATTATCTTGCTAAACACTGTCCAGAACCATGGACACTGTGTAGATTTGGAGCATCTACCTTCAGATCAGCATTTGAAAAAGTGGTAGATGAGCAGCTTTGCCCTCCAGGAAAGAATATATCATCTGTTTACGATACATCTTGTTGACGAGTTTCATTAAGGTTAATATGAAAAGTAATCATTGAAAGAAACACGACATCAACACTAAATCCAGATGAGAGACATATTTTCGATTTATAACACTATCCCTCTTCGGAAAGATTTACATAAAAAAGCAGTAAAAATATTAAATGATACATATATATAAGTTAGATTGACCTCTTATTTACTTAAACGATATGCAGTGTTATTGGCTCAAGATTGAAATACTTTAAATCACTTCGATTTCGTAAATATTTTATTTCGCGAACTTAACGCTTCAGATATATTCGCGAATACATGACTTCGCGAAAGCAGAACAAGCATTGACTTTGAATTTACAAATGATGACCTATTAGAAACCTGTACACTTCAAGGCTCTGATATCGGTAATTAAATTCAACATGAATATCACCCAGCGCTATTCTCGTACAAATTATCGCGAGGGATTTCAATTCGCGATCGACGCGAAAAAAATCTCAACCGAAAGATATGTGATTTACAGTAAAGACACATCAATATTTTGCAAATGTCAGGAAAACAATAGATTTCAGCTGTGTGGTTACAAAACCAAAGATCAAAGAGACCCAGACATTGTTTGCAGTCACATTAAAGCAGGACGCCATAGCCACGTTCATGGTTTATTTTCGCCTCTTTAATTACCTGGAGATCATCGTATGAATGGGGGCATTCGACGGAGATGGGGTTCGCTTTAGACTCGTTAGGTTAGTGGGCATGTTGTGGTGAAGCCGGGATCGGTTTTGGCGTTATTTGATTATCTTGTCTGTGGTAGACCTACATATTCCCTCTGGTGTCGCATGTGCATTTGGCTACTTACTGAATGTAATCCTACAGACCTGTCGCTAAAGCATGAACAGCACATTCAGATATTATTTGAGACAATGCCACAATAGTCAATAATGAAATTGCTTTTTTCTCGGTATTTTCCTATTTCCCAAATGACTCCAACACGCGTTTTACATGCAAATTAGACATTTAGCTTATGTTAGGTGTCTTATTAAACGCCATGTTATACATGTACTTAAAAAGTGAAATGTTCAATGACAACACGACATGATCTTTCTGTGGTGTTCCCGGGTACATTTGTCATGTTGTCGTCCAGCCATGACGACAATGTGCGACAATTCGTATACGAGTCATGACAATGTCTTCATTGAAACCACCCGACGGAGACATAGTAGAGCAAGCATGTGACACAAACCCAATACATACTAACCTAGGCACTCTGGACCTGTCCAACCTGTAGCACATCCATACACACACAGCCCATCGTCCCGTGAACATGCACCATACAAACAATTAAGGCATATCCGATCACAGTAGAGCCCGTAATTACCAGGGTAACATCCAGGTGTAGGCAAACAAGTGCCTGTAAATCTGTCACAACGATGCCGCTTTTCAGAATCCACTAGACAGTTTTCTGGACACTGAATTCTACAAAACTCTCCATAATATCCGGTTTCACAAGATGTCTCTCTGTATGCTTCCGTCCACGTGACGTCATCCATGACGACTTTGCAGGACGGCGGTGCCGGGGAGCCGAGTGTGTCTTTACATACGATACACTGACCAGACAATTGGTCACATGCGTAACAGGAGGACTTGTCCGGACATGTAATATTACAGGATATGCCGTATAGTCCTGGCCAGCAGCCATCTGCGCAACCCTGTCCGTCCGTACATATACCCTCCACACATCCATCACAACTCTGACTACAGTCAGGTCCATGCCACTGCGGCTTACACTCTGGAACAAAGCAAAAAAATCTTGCAGTGCTAATGGTACTTGACACAGACAGTTTCATTTCTATATTGATATATTTAATACCATTTCAAAAGAGAGGGAAATTGAATGAACAGTCAACATCAATATGGCAGTAAGGCACAGAAAAAACCAAACTTGTATTCCGTTGCAAGTCCTGAAGATAGTTTCTTGGGTTATGTATCTCAGGACACTGGGATAAAGTTCTTACTTTACTTTCGTTTTCTACAAAGCGCAAAGTCATTACACTGAGATAAAGTTCTTTGCTTAATTTCGTTTTCTACATTACACTGGAATAAAGTCTTTGCTTACTTTCGTATTTTACACAGCGCAATGTCATTATACTTAACCAAAATAGGTGATCTAGATTATTCTTTTGTTCTGACATACGTACTTAAACAGACGCCTGTCTCACGATCACATACGTCTTGTAAACATCGTTCACACTCTTTATAGCATTGGATCCCGTAGTATCCTGGGCTGCAACCCTCGGCACAGATTCCTGAATCATTACATGTAGTGTACTTGCAGTTCCTGGGACAGTGAAGGGTGCAGGTATGATCATAATATCCTGGTTGACATCCGTTAATACATGTACCATTAAAAGCATGACATATCTGATTAACACAGCGACCACACTCATTGGTGCAGTATTCCCGCACAGAGTCCAAATACCACCCCCGTGCGCACCCCTCTAGACAGATCCCGTCGTGGCTCCGGCACTTGTTGTCTTTGCAATGGAGACATTCTTCACAATGGCCGTTAGTGATATAGAAGCCCGGCTCACATTCGGTACAGTCTAGATCGTTTCTGATGGCGGAATACGGTTTCTTCCGATAGGCACACTGAATACAGTGAGGGTAAGACTCTTTACAGAAAGATGCGTCACATTTCTTGCCAAACCATTCATCATTACATCCGTCGGCACAATGACCTAAATTTCCGTGACATGTTCTGTTACCACCTCTGCAAAACGGACTACACTTATTGCTGCACATTATACCATAGTATCCGCTCTGACATCCGGATGAACAAGCTGCAGAGTTACTATTACATACAGTTCTGTCCAAACAGTGGCTACTTTTACATGGACAACAACCATTTTCAAAAGGAAACCAGTCATTTTTGCTACACAAGATGCAATCAAATTTGCCCTTCTCGCGCTCTGTACATTCTGAAAAGCTACATTCACACGCGGAACCGTATCGATCCTCATCATTGCATTCCATGCATTCAAGTCCTGATCTTAGACATGTTTTACATTCATTTATGCAATTATGTTGACAATGAGATCCATAGAATCCTTCATCACACAACACACACGTCTTATTGCTACTACAAAAAGAACAATTGGGTATACACGGATTATTGCACTGTTCTCCGAACCAGCCACTTTGACAATCACAATTTCCTGTTCGTCGATCACATGTTGGGCTTTGACAATATGGAGAACATATCTGGTCACATTTCAGTCCATACCATCCTTCTTTACAGGAAGAACATTCGTCGTTAGTGGTGCAGCTTTGACAGTTTGGTAGAGTACACGGTAACTGACATGTAACTCCTCGCCACCCTGAGTTGCAGACAGGACACCTTCCGGTCATCTGATCACATGACAAAAAACAGTTTGTACCACAGGTATTATTACAAAACAGGCCCCAGTACCTGGAGTCACAGACGAAACAAGAGCCGTCATTCCTGTTACAACTAAGATAGCAATGTTCGGGACAGTCCATGTCGCAACTTTGACCATAAAACCCTAATTCACATGCACCAATGCATTCCCCTGTATCTTGATTACACTTTTGATGGGCACGTGTGTTACAATGAGGCGAACAAGGAAGAGAGCAGTATGATCCATGAAACCCATACGAACATCCGTCACATACTCCAAGCATTTTATCGCAATTGACGTCTCTGCAGCGTAAAGGACAATGGTGTTGACAGGAGCGACCGAAGAAGCCCGATTTGCAATCGCCGATACATGAGTACTGGCCGTCGAGTTCATGGCAACTGCCATCAGGACATCCTCTGCACTGATTGTCTGCAAAAGGCATAGTTCAAGCATTAACTACGTTATTTCAGAAAAAAGTTTCCTAAAATGCCTTCCGAAAGGATGCGAATGACAATGAACTAAAAGCAAAAATAGGCAAACTTACAGTCTATACCACTTATGCTTTCCATGATTGCAGTATTCGCAATTTAATATCATTGTCACTACTTCGAATTTAATGGATTTACATACGTTCCACAGGTAATCGTGGGTCTTCTCAAAGAGTAAATACAGTACATCAAACTTCACTGGTTATATATTGATTTAGAGATATAGATGTATCAGTCGAAGGGATAACATTCACCTACATCCTTTAAAGTAGCCTTTATCAAATTGTTACAAAAGGAAGTGTCGTCTATTAAGCATAATACGCTTACATTCCGGAACACATATTCCTTGTACTTTTTCAGAAGTCTTCATGTAAATCTTTCTTTTGTTCATGTATTGCCCTAGTTTCATTGACTTTGAGTTTGGATTATTATCATGTTGACATGTTGGTATTTACTTTTTTCCCCGTGAAATTTCACCACATATGTACACCGTATATGGGCGTGAAAGATAATTACTATTTTCCGCACTGCAATCTGTCAGATAGTAGTAACATGTGCAGACATCTATATTCAGAATCCTGTAATTACAATTAAGCGTGTGACAAAATCCACCGTGGTACTGGGAATGGTTATGCATCATGCTGCACTCAAGGTTATCGTATTGCTTCTGGTAATATTGTTGGTAACATTTGGCGAACAGATATGTATCCAATCAATTATAAAACTACCAATTTCCAAATAAATACACTAAGTCCCTGTTAACGGTCTCCTTGATGTTGTCGAGTACAACGATTACATTTTAAGCTTGTGTTTATGTAGGTGATATAGTCTGTTTCAGATTATCAGGCGTACACAAATGAAGTTTTTATTACATTGTATTTCTATACCGTTAAAACTGCAAACGACATTATGATACCATCATAACACATACATTTTCTGTGTCGTGTACTAATTTTGTAATACTTGTAGTAGATTTAATGCCTAACAAAGAGAATACAGAGTCTTTATATGACGATAAAAAATTCGAAAGATTAAGGATGTTATCTGTTTAAGAGTTTTAGCTCCATTAATGGGTAATTTTTTAAGGAAGAAGGGAACGAGGATTTGTAAAAAATGAAATTGTACTTGTCGGGCGTTGATTTATTTCAAAGATTTATTAAAAAGATAGAGCCGTGTTTGATGTTCTTATATAACACGTTCAGAGTGTTAACTAATGGTTTGCAAGATCTATGTACGTCAGAAACTTTATGTTCTGGAACATTATGCTTTATTTTAAAATTGACATAAAATTTCAAAATATTATCTAAAATGGCAGCACTTTAAATGCCTATCAGTGTCAAGTAGGAATTCAGCAGGAGTGTTATCATTCACTCAATATAAAAGAAGTATGAAAAAAACCAATTGCACCGAAAGAGAGAAAACTGCTGGGTCATCTGCACGTCTGCTATCATTTTCCAAATAAATCTTTTAAATTAAACATTTATCAGTACTATTCGTACTCAATACAAAATAAAAGGACATCAGAAGTTCAAACAGAAATAATGACAGAACTCGAAAAGCACTTTGAACATAAGACTTATATATCAAAACGTTTATTAGGTTAGTTATCACTATACCGGCTACCCTCTGTCTGCTTATTGAGATTAACGTTTGCCGAGAATGTATGTCTGTGGGATAGTACTGTCGGGCAGTAATGTTAGAGAGACTGGTAATGGTATACATACTACTAGCCATATGGTCTCTAGAGATTTCTTCGGTGTCGATATGCACGCGGATCACTGCTATCACTACTATTAGAGACATTCACGAATGCATTGCAGACAAAATTGATTGACGTTTTGCAGTGTGTTCCCACAAAACTTGCAAATATAGCGAAAGAAGATTTTATAAATTGATCCAGTAGTTTTACAAAGAAAATACCTACTGATTACATTTTGTTTAAATCAAGCAAGAATTCATTAATATGAAATTTGAAAAAAATCACTGAAGCTTTTCTACAATTTAAAATTAAGAAAGTGATCTTCTGTTGACATTGATATTGTTTCGTAATTCAAAGGTGAAGTTGTTAGACATCGTATCAGGGTGGAGATATGTGGATGTCTACATCTGATAGAAATCTCGGGCATTTCACGTTTCAATATCCACTTTAATCAAAGATTTCCTGTGGAGATAGATAGGTTAAGTTGCTTTGAAAACATGACTTCACAGAAAAAGATATTACTACAGTGCCAAGGTTTGGTTTCCGTGTGATTAGTTACGATATAAGTTAGCCAGTCTTTGAAAGCAGGGTTCAGATGTTAATTAGCTATCGACAGTGTAAGCCTTACTCATAGATGAAAAGATGAATTTTCTTTCTTTTTTTTGTCTATTTTTTTTAAATAGATAAAAAAATCAAAAACAAAAAACAAAATACCTGTTTCCTGTCAAGAAAGATATTAGTCTGGTATATAAATTGACTCCCCCCGCCTACCGTTTGTAAGAGTTGGCGTTGATATCATCGCTCTGTAGACTTCATTTTCTTTTGTCAGGACACTCTTAAATACGAAAATCGCCATTCGTTTCTGTTTGCGTTTCAATCGATCTTCTACGATCAAAATACCGCCTGTGTTACTACATGTATATATAGAATTATTATTTCATGGCTCAAGTATCTACATCAAATATGTGTATCTTTTATAAAAAGTCTTTTCTTTCTCTTTAATATACATTGACACGAGGTCACCATTTCTACATTTCTACAGCACCTCCGAATGCGAGAACATTTTTAAAAATTTTATTCCCATATCAAACTAATATACAGTAAAGTAATTGTTTGCCAACTACAATACCAAGCCAAATCAAATATTTACCAGACTATTATTTTTATCAGCTTTTTATATTCCATATACACCAGTAAACTCTAATCTAATTAATTTAACTATCACCACAACACATATAGCTGACTGACCAACAATACGAACCTTATCATATGATAGCGCAATGCAGATTCGCTATTCTATCAAAGACACCGTGAACAACTTAAACACTGATATTGTGTTGGGAACTAGACTTATGAATATGTTTACTGATTTGCAGAGAAACAAATTTTGCTGTTGGTTAAATTATTGTTTTAGCTAGAGCATGTAGAGGAGGCATAAACATATGTTTTATTACAACCTGAATTTGAAGATAACAACTTGCTATAACCACAAGAAGCTAGTTTATCTTTCTTTCGAGTTGCACAAATCTTTTCAATAAGAATGAGTAGTAACACATAACAGTGATTTAAACATTCTTTAACACATATCATGCATATATGCTTCAGAATGTTTACGTCAATCACCTGATTACAATTGGCATTTCCCCCATGATTCGAAGATACCGACAAAATAAAAACAAATAAGATTTAAAATGTATGGAGAAGGAAGCTACAAAACAAGTAGCTTTCATTCACGTGACATTTAAGTGTTAAATATTATCTCATTTGTCAGTCATAAGTAAAAATCAAATTTGTCTTCTGTAAATTTATTTACAGGCTTAAAGACCAAAATCTAGCACGTGTATTACGTATATATATAAATTATGACCTACCTGCCAACGGAATGCTCTCTTTACCAGCCTGACTTAACAGAGGGATCAGTATCAGGACCCAGGTCACAGTACCCAGGACCGTCACGCTTGGTCGGGAATGCATGGCCTAGTGATCTAACACATCGATAAACCGAGTCATATCCAAAAGGTCATAGGTTAACTTCCAAGGTCACGCCAAAGGTCAACCATATCATCAACAGGTAATTGCGTGATAAGTGGGACACCAATCTAGTTTTAAGGTTCACTCTCTTTTATAATGTCACAGATGACGAATCATTACGGTATTGCAGCATGATATCTATAGATATGTATACAGTGTTCAGATGTGAAAGGAACTTTGTCATCACACGAATAATGAAATTGTTTTAACGAAAATCATGTGGAAAGTCATGTTGCGGACATAATTCCAACATTTTTACAATGATTTGCAAGAATTCGCTTACATAGCTATCAGAATTTCGATGTTTTGATACTGATGATGACTAAAATGGGTTTTCTGAATATTTAAAACCTGATCTTACTTAAAAGTCCGGTCAAGGCACAAGCTGTAAGAAAATACACCATATTCCAATACTGACCAGATAATAGTAGGTCGCTCTGTACTTAAGTGTCTTAAGATCCATGGTAATCATGTATCATTATTAACGCCGTTCCCACACTTCCTGGAGCCAAACTAACGAAAGAAAGGTTAATCCAATACGGTCATATCCTGATACGCTGTTTGATCGTGTCACTCATCTCTTGCATCGGGTCGGTTTACTTTCATAAACTTTGCTTCTGTGTCAGTCCTTGTAATTCACCACACTATAGTCGAAATGTTTCTCTAACGCTTTAAATCAACTGTGTGTCGTGAGAAACACGACTAACCACACGACTCGTCCTATAGTACCATTGGGCGCGCAAATGTCACCTCGAGGCTATAAAACAGAGAGTCGACTGGTGTCAAGTCTTCCTGCAACCCAACAATACTATTTCCACTGTGCACAGGCGGCACCACAAAATCAATGATGTGGTTTATTTATGATACCGTAGATATAAGGCATTATTGGTCATCTGCAGTCATTTCTAATTAACATGGCTTATCGATGTCGATTTTCTGCATTTGCATTGCAGCTGTAGACAGTTTGATCCATGCTCGTTATAAAGGATGGTGTGATAGACGTGACGAGGAATATGATTAAGCCTCAGAATTTCTTCCAACTATATGTTAAAAAAGAAAAAAAATGAAGCTCAATCTATTGACTGCCATCTCGCAGAAATGGCACACCATTTTACGTTATAGTGAGTACTATGAATAAATGAGATTTTAACTACGTGTACATTATACCTCTGAGAACACTAATCGTAATCAAACATTTGGTATATAATCGTTATTATGAAGTCATTGTATTTGTATTTTATCCCCGTTTTATGTGGCTATATTTGAAACGTGATTTATTTAGACAATCCGAAGAATCCCACTATTTGAGAATTAGTTTAATCCATTGTTTTGCTATATCCTAAATCTTATTGATAAGCGTGGTGATTCCAATTTTCCTATTGTAAATTTTCCATTTCCAGATAACAATATTTCTGCATCTCCAACATTTGATGTTAACATGTCGCTGTTGATTCGAAATTCAAAGACCTGTTCCCATTATCACGATTTTCATGCAAGATGTCAGGTTGGTGAAAATTATGGGAAAGTTTTACGGTCGTATAGTGATCTCGTGAGAGATATCCCTGTTGACTCCGTTGTTGTAAACCTTGTTCTGATTGGATATCGAGACATTACTTACTTGTATTTACCAAGGTTTGAAAATCGTGTGTCGTCGACGAAGCAGAATACGCTTACTATCCCAGAACACTTAGTCTTATTCTCCTTGTACTTTTTTTGTACTTTATCTCCGTATAGACTTTTCTTTTGTTCATATTGTTTTATTGAATTTGATTTAAAATTATGATTGTGTTGGTATTTCTTAATTTTTTATTTGAAATGTGCTTTTCACTTTTGAGTCTTTTATACAATCCATTAAGCAATATTTAAGTTTATCATTTTATCGTTATGCATGCGACAGGCCAAATATTTCACATTCTCTAATCTTAACCTTGTATACTTGTCTCGTAAAACTAATTCATTCATACCTACGTGCAAACTCAGCCATATTGAACGTTGGATGTATTGCTTAATACAACTAAAACAAAAAAGTAACGTGTGGAGACCTCGGTTCGGAAAGTTCGCATGTTAATGGCAATCTCTCTGTAGAGTATGTAAATAGTAATATATCTACTCGGAGCCTCTATGAATGACCTTTTCGCATGTTATGAGGAAATAAAATGGATTGTATTGAGGCAACAC